TACAGAAGCTATTTACAGAAAATCGGACCACCCACGAGGCTTCCCTACTCACTCGCTTCGGGCTTGGCCTACAAACCACGTGCTCTAGGCCTTGCTCACCCCGGGATGCGGACCGTATGGCTCTCATCCTAATTCAACGACGTTTTTGAAAGCTAACAACAAAAAAAAAAAAAAACACTTGCGAGCAGAAAACAAAAACACCCAGACTGCCGCCAAGTTAAAACACGTCACAAAACCGATCTCCTCGCTTCTCAACAGAGCACACCGCCGGCGCTAGCTAAGAAGTCTCCCTAGGCCTACTCTACCCCGGCTCGAACAAAAGCTTGTACCGAACCGCAAAAACTGTCCTCCGATACTCCAAAAGTCCCATGTTGGGCACCAGTGTGGGGTTTTGAAGCAGGTGAGCGAGCGCCACGCCACGCTCTTGGAATGAACAGACACAGTAGACGTGGTCGGTATAAACCAAACAACACATACATTTATTTACCTAATTTTGAAGGACGATATCGTCTGCTGAATCGATACATAAATCATAATTAGCACACTAGGACATCCGTACACACATTACCATACACTCAAACAACATTATTACCATACACACAAACCATACTATACCATTACCATACACTAAAACAACACTATTACCAACACTCAAAAAAAGGCGGCGGCACCAACGCTTCACTCACCACGTGGGCCTACCGCAGGCGGCCCGCGGTGCCGTCCACGGCAGACTCACCGCGAGAGACAACCGTTCGCGGCAACCGTCACGTGCAGAAGAGGCTCTCTCAACTCTCGCCCGCCACCAAGGCTTGCTTCTGCCAGGGGTCACCGCTGGTGCTACCACTGTAACAACCATGATCATGATAGTGGTGCTCAACCGGAACATGCCATCTATCGCCCGGCGGTTGTCACCCGAAATGCGGCTTTTGGGCGAAACACATGCACCACACGGTGCAAACAACTTTACAGGGGGTGTCAGCATCCCCACAATTCTTACCTGAGATTGCTTTGAAGACTAAGACATGGCGTGTTTTGAAGTGAGACGAAGTTCTCAACACCCATTTGCAAGGCGATCTCTCGAGATTTCTGCTTGAGAATTAGTCCGCTTATGGGCAAATTGGAACTCTTTGTAAGCTTGAACCACAGAAGTTTTTCTAGTTCACCAGGCGTCGTCCGTATCCGTTTAGATGTAAAGGTCCCGTTCTTTACAACGCCTTCAATCTTTTTTCCGTCTTTGCAGATATGCGACAGCGTCGATTTCAGGATGTCGTATTTTTTCGCCACCTCCAACTTGTGCAGGCCGCTTCGATCGAGCTTCTGAAGAATTCGCAGCTTTTTTTCAAACTAGAGTGCATGGAGCACCCGCTTTCTTTTCATCTGGCTGAAATAACACCGTGATCCACCACACTTAGCCGCGCAAATAGGCTTAACACACAACTGACTCGCCAACTCTGCTCCCATAGCCACAAGTGAAAATGGCTACTGGATTGGCTTGTCTCGAGGTGTTGCCATGGTTGTGACACTACCTTTATCTTGAACGAGTCTATGTTGTTTTTGGAGTTCGTGCCGCTTAACCATAGGTGACCAACAAGCACTGTTTCGATTAACCGATGAATTTTACTGCGCAACTCATAGAAATCCAGCCATATGAGCCCGTTTAGTTCCGTTTATGAGGCATATTCATTTAAATGAGTTTCATTTATTGGGAGTCTACTGTATATTTCCGTTATGTCGGGGCACTCGCTAGACACGATCGACCAGCTAAAGTAACAAATCCGCGTGCCCATTGGTCCGCTGACCGCAGCGGATACCTATAGGAACTATGACGCACCTTCTAGGCAAAAATGCGTTGCCGTAGCCACCAATGCTTTGTGGGAAATATTCAACTTTCCAGTCGGCAAATGTGCCTATGGCATGTAGCACCTAGAGCTTGAAGTGCATACCGCGCGTTTCGCGAGCAAAGTCGACATGCTCCGAATGACTGCGTTGCCGGTGACCATGTTGGTCGCCATAGCAAAGGCACATAAAACATTTTTTTTCTGCCTTTAAGTTGCGTTAGTTTCGTCATACCGCCGATAAATAACCGGCGCTGTCGCCGGATCAGCGGGCACATGCCGTTATTTTATCTTGTAAAACGCGTCTTACAAGTGAGCTGAGACGTTACGGCCTAAATCTAATTCCATCGTGGGGGGGGGGGGGGGAGAGGGGGGCTGTAGCTGTGTTAAAAAAAATTCTTGGCTTTGCTCTATCCCGTGCAGAACGCTGGTTAAGCCACATTTGCCGCAATACAGGAGTGCCCTGTGAAAAAGCGCATCATGATTTGGAAGGGGCTCTAAGCAATAGTCCCGCTACACAGCTCATTTTGTTCAATTACTCATGCGCATATACGGCACATAACTGGGAGTGCTAGTATGATTGCAGACTTCTAAAAATGTTATGGGCAATCATTCGGAGTGGTGTGTAAAATTGCTGGTGCTTTAAAAACACTGCGGCAGTCTTTTTTTAAAATTTTGCATAGCAATTATGTCGACACTTGCGACTAGATTTTGCCCCCAGTGTCGATGTACTCGTCACTCACCGTATATATATATATATATCAAAATACAAGAAAGCAAAATAATTAAGCAAAAACGCTCCCGCGCGCGGAATCAAACGTGGGACCTCTGAATCTTGAGTGCGAGGTGTTAACCACTGAGCCACGAAGGAGTACCTTCTTCAACGTTCAAACAGCAAGCTATTTATATCTACCACTTACCGCTGGTGATGGACATCTCGAGGGTAACTATCGTGTTTTCAGCATTGCCAGCAAGGTGGCGCAATGAGCGTGCGTTGCCACATCGTCATGACGCGGCCCGCGCTCATTGCGCCATTTTGCTAATGATGGGAGAATCGTACCTCTTGGCTAGTCTTGAGCTGTCACCGGAACCATTCTGTTGTGGTTTACGGGCACACAAAGGTCACTGCAATCGTTGCGGTCTCCATTTGTGAGTAGGGCACGCTTTTAAGACACAGGGAAGTAACAATGAGACACTTATTCGCATTCATCTGTACCTGTGAGTACGTTACTGCGTCATTTGTGTGTGAAAAACATGGGACATGTTTCGATTTGCTTGCCATTCTGCACGTGACCGTCCAATTTGTTGCTATCGCGTTCATTGCTTTGCCTTTGGAGCAAAGCTGTGACTTTTTTCACTTTTGTTCGATTCTGTATTCGCTCACAAAGCCTGGGTCTGGAATTCTCCGCGCAAACTTGTGGATTTATCGCATGGAGTGTGTGGAAACGATCATGCAGAACATAAAGGATGTGGCAGAATAGAGGAAAACTTGTCCCGACCCCCGCGATGCATGTGTGCACTTGGCAGATGCGTCACTGTATGAAAATCTTCGGCGACACATAGCACTTGCTGCCACACAAGGCCTATCATTCCTAGTTGTGTGCAGCAGATGACCGACATGCTGCTGATGCTGTTTCTATCGAGGCGCTTTTGCACGCACGTATTTGTCATAAAAAAGTGTTCTTGATGCCCACTCTCTTCCTGCAAGATGTTCTGGTTTCGTTCACGAAAGCACCGGGTCTGTGCGGTGCACTTTGCTGATTCATGCAGAAAGGCCGAGTTTTCGTTCATGAAAGGACCACGTCCGTGGGGTGTACTTAGCTGATTCGCGCAGACAGGCAGCGTGGACGGCGGCGGGCGGGAGAGATTAAAAGCGTGCAGTACGCCGACAACTGCACCACATGCAGGAACAAGCAGTTAGCTGAAGAAGCTTATCATAAAGCGAACAAGTCTTACAGGCGTGTTTGTCGCATTGCCACTATCCCTCCGAGCGATTCCGGTGCTTAACAGTTAGACATCACCTCACTTCTTGATGATACCTGTGTCTTCAAATTCTTTAAAAACAATTTTACCCCAACTGAACGACTCTTTGAAAGCGCTCGTTTAAGCCTACGAGGTCATAGACGTAGCAAAGGTAGGGATTTTCGATAATGCTGTTTCATACCTGGAATGTTGGCTGAAAGTCCAAAAAAATCGGACGCCGAAAAGTTTCAGCGTCAAAAACTTCAGATGTTCTTATCTATAGACGTTGATAGGGCTTGCGATGCTGTCGTGAAATCGTCTGAATTAGCATGTCTGAAAAATCTGGGTTCCAAAAAATCTGCAGTAAAGTGATCTTCAGTCACGTTATAATGAAGTGCTATGGTTTTAAATTTTATCATGGGTTTTGTCTATTAAATATGGTCAGGTTATCTGTCGGTGATCTAATTTTATTTTTATTCAATTATGCTTGAATAGCATGTAGCACATTGTAAATTAATTATTTGTGACATGAACACAGTTTAAAAAAACAACAGGAAGGGGTGGATGGAAAAATTCGTGAAGAGTTGTGTTGGGCCGACGTTTCGATAAGCGGACTTGTCTATCTCAAGGTTAAAACAGAACAGTTTTGTTCTGAGGAAGACAAGACCGTTTGTGAGAACGTCGGCTCAGCACAACCCCTGTTCACGGATTTCTTTGTAAACACAATAGGTGTCTTAGAATTGAAAATTGACTCAAGCAATATCTGCTTCGAAAGCCAGTTTTGCTGCTCCAAAACGCATTTCTGTCTCCTCCAAAAACTGTTGAATTGTGCTCTTTTGTTTTGCCTTTTTTTGCAAACACTGAACATGTAGCACTCGTGTCGATGTTGCAGGGTGCTCAATTTCTCTTCGAGCTTTGTGCCTTGTTTGTGGTCGAAATTAAGTAACTTTCACGTGCTTGACACCATTCAAATTTGGTCGAGAAGCCCTATGCATACTGAAATCGAATGAAGGGCACATCATGATTTTGAAATTTAGTGTCACTGCCCCTGTAACTTACTCTACATTGGTATAATGGCAAGTATGCATGAGTCAGCTATTGGCAGGCTGAACACTGGTCTGTCTGCCTTGTGCTCCTAGGTCAGGCCTCGTTTCATTCTTATATTGTCTTGCACTGCATTGTATTTTTTTAATGCCATTGCAGCGCTTCCGGAGACAAAGACTTACGCCAATATGGTGAGCAAGAACTCTGTACCAATCTCTTCGGCTGGATTTACGTCACCAAGCCCTGCGGCACCTTTTGGTGGTGCTCCAACCAGTGGAACAGGACATGTTCCGGCATCTACAGGGCACTCTGGAAGGGGATTTGGAGGTGAGCCTCTCTCTGGGGGCCTGCCACCAAGGCCAGACCAGCGTGGAGGTCCGCGGCCTCAGCAGCAAACGCGGGCACCACGTGCCTCACTGCCACCACCCACCAAGCGGGCTGAGAGTGGCCGAAATGAAAATGCACTTAGCAGTGATGATGGGACTGCGCCTCCGCCTCTCCGGTCTAGTGTCAAGCCCCAGTACCCTGATAACCAACAGGTGTTTGTGGGAAACCTGCCACACTCTATCACTGAGGAGCAAGTGCTGAAACGCTTTGAGGAGTTTGGCCATGTGCTTGAGTTCAGGATGAACTCCAGGTCGACAAGCAAGATGACAGCTGGCGGCAAAGCTGTACCTGTGAGTAAATTTGTTGAACTTTACAGTATTTTTGTATCACAATTTCTGTTTGTACACTGAATCGTTAACTTTTTGATTGTGCTAATACATAGTTTCATAGTACACCAGGGATACTATCACTGTGCCAATTGTGCCAAACTGTGCCGAATCGCCCTGGCTGCTACACGCTGCTACATTTTCTTAAAATTTGGCGAGTCTGCGCCCACCCTGCGCCAAAGGGCGTGCTCCGACTTTCATAAACGAAACTACTTGAGGTCCTCCTGTTGAAAATGACATCGCGGTGCACCTGCGTAAGAAGCAACTCGAACTGGGCCACATGTCACCGTTGGGACCATGGATGGTTGAGACACAGTGAATGTCCAATTTTTTGGACTTTCTAGGAACCGCAAAATCATCTAAAAAAAGGTTCGGGACTATTTATTCCGCTCGAGTAATCAATTCACCACAGCTTCGTCCGAAATAGCTTCAGTGCCTCCTAGAGTACACTTATCAGGCATTTCAATGCAGGCTCAGGATGTCCTAAGTGCATTCAGGGCCTGCAGACGTCCATTTGCAAATATGCATTGCGGGATAAGCGCCGCCGATAGGAGCAAAACGTATAACAAGTTGCGGGTTTATCGCATGGAACATGCGAAAACGATGACAGATAGCATAAAAAAGGTGGCAGAATAAAGGAATACTTGTCCGAACCTCTGCGATGCGTGTGTTCACTTAGAAGATGCTCCACTGTACAAAAATCTCCGGCATCAAGTTGCACTTGCTGCCACACGAGGCCGATCGTTTCTAGTTGTGTGCAGCACATCACCTACACAGTTGACGCCCTTCCTACGGGGGCACTTTCGTACACACGTGTTTGTCATAAAAGAGTGTTCCTGATGCCCAGATCGTTCCTGATCGCACACGGGCGTGGTGATGGCGAGCTGCTCTCGTTCGTGAAGGCATTGCATCAGTACGACACACTTGGCTGATTCGCATAGACAGCGTGGACAGCAGCGTGCGTGAGTGATTAAAAGCGTGCAGTACGCCGACAACTGTGCCACATACAGCAACAAGCAGTTAGCTGAAGAGAGAGAAATAACTTTATTGGGTTGAAAAAAAAAGGGGGGGGGGGGGGGGGGGGTTTAGGAGCTAGATGGGTGGGGCCCCATGTCCAAGGCTCCACTGCCTTGCGTCCGCCGCCTGCCAAACGTGGTCCAGGAGCGCTAGTTGCACCTCCGGGTCCGAGCTAGCGAGGAGTGCCTCCCCCTGCTCCAAAGAGTTTTCCATTCTATACATACGTTGTAAGCGATCGAGATCATTTGGTCGTTTAGTGAAACTCCACGAGATGTGGTAAAGGGCCGGTGGCGAGTCGCGACATCACGGACAATCATGTCCATACAAAGTTGGATGAATTTTGTGCAGTCGTAATATATTTGGATAAACTCCCGTTTGAATTTTCCAGAGGTCTATGGCATCTTCCCCTTTAAGAGATTTGTGGGGGGCGCCATATATCTGCCGCGTGCATGGCTGGTGAGCAAGAAGCTCTCGCGGAGCCATCCAAGCCGGGTCGTTTTCCTCCACCTCGCAAAAGCCATCGTGCGTGGTGCTGGGTAGTGGTAACAGCGAAAAAGGCTGCTGCTCCGTTCGGTTCGTGAGTGCTCGAGCTAGAGTGTCCGCCCTCTCGTTACCCTCTAGGCCTGCATGTCCCGGGCACCAGACCAACCTATAAGTGTTGCTCAATTCGCCGCCTAAAAATTTGCAAATGTTTAATGGGAGGCGGCCTTTCGTGAATAGCCGGCACGCCTCTTGCGAACCTGAGAGTACGGTGATGTACGTCTGGCTATCGTTGCGCTCTCGACTTTTAATCGCCAATGCGATAGCGAAACACTTGGCCTTGGTGATTGATGTAGTGTACAGTGATGCGCTCGACGCCATGCTTCTGGTGTCGCTGCTTACCATTGTGATGAAGCTTCCAGTTATGCCCAGAAGCGTCAACGTATAGCACATTCTCATTGCCTCTGACTAATTTGCTGATCCATTTTACACGCTCCTCTCGTCTTTCGTGATGCCGCTCCTTGGTCATGTTCCTGGGGATAGGGGCGATCGAAATATGTTTTCGGACTGGGTTTGGTACGTCTACCAGCTCCTCGTCCAAGTTTTGGGGTTGCGGTGGTATACCCGCCCTCATCAGTATCTCTCTTCCCGACTTCATCTGGTTGAGGCGGTTGCGCTGAGAGATCAATGTTGCTGCTTTCAGTTCAGCATACATATTATGCAGGCCGATCTCCAGAAGCCTGTGTGTCGGAGTGCTTATCGGTAAGCCTAATGCTGCCGTGTAAGCCCCTCTGTTGATTGAATATACTTGCTTTTCCTTGCTCTTGTTCAGCATGTGGAAAGGCAAGCTGTATGTCAATTTGCTCATTATGAGTGCCTGCACTAAACGGACAGTATCACTTTCCTTCATGCCCTTTTTGTGGAAGGTGATCCCCTGAATCATCCTAGCCACTTGTTTAGTTGCTGAAGAAGACCGATAGTGTGACTTGTCCTATCATTGCTTTGAACCCAGAAACCCAGGATCCGGGCGACGGTGACTTCAATTTTCTGCTTTTCGATTTCGATTTCTATTCTTCCAGTACTTTTGTAGCGTTTGCTGTGTATTCTGATCACCCCCGATTTTTCGGGTGCGCAGCTGAGACCACTGGTTCTGGCAAAGTTTTCTACAGCCAGTGCCGCCTCCAGCAGAGTCTGCTCTTTGCTGGCCAGGGACCCCCGTGTGGCCCACAGAGTAATGTCGTTTGCGTAGAGGGTATAACCTAGCTTTGGTACACAGTCCAAGGCCCGAGCGAGTCGTCACATGGCGATATTAAACAGAGGAGATATTACCGTACTTACTCTATTCTACCGTGCCCTCGATTGTAACGCGCACCCGATTTCCACGACGGGAAAAAAAAAAAAAAAAAGAAAACCGTAAGACATCGATTGCAACGCGCAGCCATTTTTCTCGCTGGCCCGCACGATCACACCACTCGAAAAAACGAATCCTTTCGCGAGCGTCTTCCATTTAAATATGAGGTATGGGCGAAGCTTGTGCCCATCTGACGTGTAACAGAGCATTGCCGTCACTGTAGTTAAATATGAGGTATGGGCGAAGCTTGTGCCCATCTGACGTGTAACAGAGCATTGCCGTCACTGTAGTTTTACTGTGGACCGATGTCATTACGCGAACTTGCTTCGCCCCCTTCTTCTCGACGGTTGTGGTGCTAGGCATGTCCAAGTAAAGAGGCATTGATCGGCATTCCCGATTTGCCCAAGCAGATAGCCGTTGTTGTGCCGCAAGTTCAGGACGAACCTCTGAAAACTGTGAAGCTTTTCATCGTACTCCTCCGCAAAATTTTTCGCATATGCCCGTTCCCCTTCGGAGGGAAAAGCCTTTCCTCTTCATAAAGTTAGTTAGCCAGCACCTGCTCGCTTTAAACTGGCTCCGCATTAGACCTTTTTCTAAGGCTAATTGCATAGCCCGCGCTTGGAGAAATTCTGTCGTCACGGGCCGCCGTGCCGCTAGCTGCTCAAGCACATGCTCGCCGAGCAGCTCTTTAATTTGCAAAAACCGACCCTGCTGTGGTCCACTGAAGCCTTTGCGTGAAGCTTTGCTGTCGACAATCTTCTGCTTTTGTTTCCGCCAGTCCCACACGCGCGTTTCGGGAACTCCGAACGACCGCAATGTGGCCCGATTTCCGTCCGTTTCTGCACATGCGATGACTTCCCTTTTTAAAAGCGGCATCGTGGTGCACTCGAGTTTTTGGAGTCGGCCCTTCCATGCCGTCGATGCTAATGCACTACAAGATGACGAACTCCTCAGCACAAGTACGAAGTGCCGCACATGGGAAACACATAGGCAGAAATGGCCGACGCGCCATGCCGACGCACGTAGGGGGCGTCCATTTCGGAAATGCCGAAGGCAATAGAATGACCTCATTCGTTTTTTTTATCGTACTCGATTCTAACGCGCATGCGATTTATGAACTGGCTTAACCGGAAAAAAGGTGCGCGTTAGATTCAAATAATTATGGTATGGCTCCTTGAGGCGTTCCCTTGTTTGGCATTCGGAGTGGCTCAGACCTAACGCTTGAGATACCAATTTTCGCCTCCCGATCGGTGAGAAAATCCTTTATATAGTTGAACATCTTTTCCCTGCGATCAAGTATATTTAGCTCTGAGAGTATAGCTTCATGAGAGATATTGTCTAAAGCTCCCTTTATGTCTAGAGCAAGCAGCAAATGCTCTCCACCTTTGGGAATGCCTTTGAGGACCTTGTATCAGGAGGAAAGCGTCCTGTGTTGAGAGACCACTGCGGAAGCCCAGCATGGTGGCCGGAAACAGCTTCCTGTCCTCTATGAAATCAGAAGTCTGGTGTGAACGACCCGTTCGAAAAGCTTCCCCATACATGACGTAAGTGATATAAGTCTGAGCACCTGCAGGGAGGGCTTTTTTCCGGGTTTCGGAATGGTTATAATTTTGCCGGTTTTCCATTCTGCAGGGACCTTTCCTTTGAGCCAATAGTGTTCATTGAATTGTTTTGTCAGGCCTTCGATGGTTTTGTCGCTAAGGTTTCTTAACGCATTCGTAATTTGGTCTTCACTGGGGCTGTGTTCCTCTTGGCTACATGGGCTGCTGCAAAGACCTCCTCCTTTGTTACCACCTCGTCTAGTTTATTTCTAGCTCCGCTGTAATTCATGTGATTAGCCGAATTACTTGGTGGACTATCGATAATATAACTCTTAAGGGCTTTCACTAGGTCGTCGTCCGTGCACGTTAATGTTTCTGCTATTTTCTGCAGTGTTCTGCTTGTAGATTTGGACTTATCTGGATAAAGAATATTTCTTGGATGGACCAAGTTTTCGCGGTGCTCAGTGTGTTCTGAAGCGAATTGCAGAACTTGACCTATCCTTCAGTAGGAAATTTGCTTGCATGGTCGTTTGCTTCCTCTGCAAGAGCAGCGATCTTACGCAGTAGCGTCCTAT